CTAAGAGATCATGGTAGTGTTACTTCGTTCTAAATAATAATATCTTGATATTTTAATTTACGCTTATAGGGTAAAAGATATTTGATTTTTAGAAAATAATTAATTTTTAAAAAATTATGTTTAATTAAGTCATTATATTTTAAAATCTCATCAATTCACCATAATGATTAAAATTAATTGTTTAATCTAATAATTTTTATATCATTTAGTACCACGTGCATCATCACGGTAATTTCACGTAGTGTTTCTAAAATTTATTAATCTTTCAAGATTTTTAGATTTTTTTAAATTATTCACATTATTATTTTAAATTTTTCCTTAAAAAATTACAAATAAATATTTTAGCAACATTATAGAGACGATACGGTGAAATCACATGGCACTAACTTCGGATACTGAATTTTAACTCAACTTGCCGTTTAAGTAAACAGCCGTTAAAATAAATAAAGTAAAACTTGGAACTGCGAATCACGTGTCTATTTATTTTCCATGAAAAGAGCTAAACCACGTTTATCATGTGATTGCGCTGCCCCCTTCTTCCTTCCTACTCTCGCCGGCCGCCGGTGATAAAATCAAAATAGAAAAGGCCCAAAATATTTAGAAAGCTTTTAATAATTTATTTAAATTAATTCAATAAATAATTTGAGATGAAGTAAAAATTTATTTATAAATATATCAATTTTTATTTTATTTTTAAATAACAATTTTTATTGATCATATTAAAAAAGATAACAAAAATATTTATAATAATATCAATTGTTTTTTTAAGTTTTAAGTTTTCATTGTGTGGTAAAATTTTATTTTAGTTATATTTTAATAAAAATATTTATATAAAGATTCATTTGAATTTAAAAACTAATAACTTAATTTAAAAATACGCATTTAAATTTTATACTTTATTTGAGTACAATAACGTAATAAAAATTAAGACTTTGTAAAATTATTTAAACTGGTAGCTTGGGGTCATTATGATGAAACATGAAAGAAAAAAAATCAGTCCCAACATTAAAAACATTAGACAACTTAAAATGGACCTAGGAGAAAAGCAAACTTGCTAAATTTAGATAAATCCAATGTAAATAACAATTCTTTAATCTAATTGCTAAAATATTATATTTACCATTTTATTTAAAATTATTTTCATTGACATGACAGCACCGATGATTAACAATATACGAAATAATAAATACACATATATCCCATTGTCGTTAATTGCACGCTATTTTATTTTATTATTTATTCGAAATCTCTTGCCCTCTTCTCTAGAATTTGTGGTCAAAGTAGACCGCATTATTAATAATTAAGAAATGGAGATATTCATAATCCCCACTAAATTTTGAAAGCTATGGCAGATTAATGAGGAGGTGGACAAAGAAAAATATTGTACAATAAATAATATTTTAAAAGGGAAGTGAAAAAGCTATCGTTTTCATTTAGGAGACAACTCACCTACTTTAATATTTCTTAATTTCCAACCTCATTATTTTATGAAATCTCGTCTCCCTTTGCCTGACTGAATTTTCTAATAATTGCAGGGTTAAGGCCTACTAAATACTATTTCTTCGATTTTGACGTCACCGCTTAGCTATAAATCATACCACATGGGCGCATAGATCTTGTCTTAGCGACCTTCAATAAAGTTCTGGCTAAATTAATCTTAAATAATGGTAACAAGTATAATGATTAGTGAAAAATTTTAAAGTTTTCTTTAAATAATCGTAATTGTACTGATACCTCAATGCTTTCTGCTTCTCGAACTTTTTTTCTCACCTTGACATAAAATTTTCGACCATTTATAGAAATTTGCATCGTCGAATATCTGCTTTTTTCAACTCCAAGTCCAAAGAAATGAATGTGAATTCTTATATAAATGCTTGTAAATTTAATCTTGAAGTGATTGCAACTCTATGACCTTGTACCTCCTGAATTTTTGCTTGGTGCATTATTAAGGATCGTGATCTCATTAAGCAAAGGCTTAATACATTGCTTATCTTTCTTCCCTTGTTTTGATCACGGAGAAGATATAGGATACAATTCATGTTCATCTGTTTATTCTTCCTCTTCTCTTCCATCATCATGCGTCGCACGCCATCGACAACCATCCTTACAGGAAGAGGTTTGTTCAAGTCAATAACCACTGTTAATTTAATGAAACGTCGTCTCTTTCCCTTTGTCATATTATAGTCGATTCGAATGATGTTTCTTGTGAAACTTGTAATTAGTCAAAACATGTTTTTCTTAATACTTAATGCAAAAATAAGTGTCAGAAGTATATTTAAAGTTAACTTTAGGTGCCTAAAGTATTTCTCATTAAAAATAGGTGTATAATATTTTCAACGTTGTACTTTTAAGTGCATGGACTGAAACAACTGATAAATTTGACCATTAAATGATACGTGTCATATTTATAAAATTTTACTTTTTATTTAAAATAATAAATTTATAATTATAATTTATTTTTATAAAAAATACCCAACATTTTATGAAATCACCAAAATAACCCTAAAATCCCCTCGCCATTTCGTCCTTGTTGTCACCCTTACCGTCGCCACAGCCACTATCACCCTTACCATCGACCACTTCATCTTCAACCCTTGTCCTTACTGTCGTCGTTGCCCTTTCAGTTGAAAGTAACCAACGTCGCATAACCAAGGTTGTAATCTACCTAACGTTTTGGACATAGGAAAATCCGAAAGTAAATTGCATTCCATGCTGAATTTGGATGTTAAATTCCAACGCGTAGATTCATATTTAAGGGGAAATTTGAATCCGTAAACCCTAACTTTAAATACCCTTTAAATTTAGGGTTAGAAATAGAAATTTAAGGTTTATGGATTTAGGAGTTAGGGTAATGGTAAGAATGATGATTGGTCAATGGTTGAGCACCGACAAATAGATTACCTTTTGACGACGAAGATAGTGGCTGGAGGTGATTGGCGACGGCGGTAAATGTGCTTGAAATCAAGGATTTTAGGTTTTTGGGATTTTTTGTGATTTTAAGGAAATTTGGGTTTTTTAAAAATAAATAAATTATAATTTTAAGTTTTTTATTTTAAAATAAATTTTTTAAAATTTTATAAGTTTGACGTGTGTCACTTAACGGCTAAATTTAACATCAGAAACCCAAAAGTGTAATGTTAAAAACGTTAGACATCTATTTTTAACAAAATATTCTTTAAGCAACTAAAGTTAACTTTAGGTATAGTTTAGGCACTTATTCTTACATTAAGTGTTTTTGTATAAATAATGATAGGGAAGCTCAACAAACGAATTTAAACATCAATTATCGAAACGTATTCGTCCATCATGGAGAAGTTACAACTCCAAGGTTGAATGGTTAGATAACTTTCATAAATCATCTTAGGTCCCCAAGAGTGCATGTCACACCCCAAAATTTTTTAGGCTAGAAATTATTTCATTAATTTGGTAATTTAATTGATAAACAATAAAGTTTGGAATTAAAAGGAAAAAAGGAAAATATGGAAAATTAAGACTTGTTTGATTTTAGGGTAAAGTTTAGAGTCTAAAGGATAAACTCTTAAAAACTAGTGGCTTTAAGCATAATTTATCCTTTATTTTTGTATGGCTTGATAAAAAAAAGTGAAAAAGGGTGAGGTTTGAGGGCTTTGAAACCATGACCCTATAAACAACCAAAGCCATGTCTCTACCACGCTCCTATTTGAGATTTAAATATTAAAAATATCTTTTGTATCTGATATAGATCATATTATAAGACCCCAAACAATTCTCCCCAATGGATAACAAAAACCAAACTTTTACATAATCAATTTAAGCATAAATTATCATCGTTGAAGCTCCGATCATCGTATTCGACCAGCCATGGAGTGTACCTCTGTGACCATCGTTAACCCCTGACCAAAAATCGACTGACCACACTCCATGAATCGCTGCCAAATATCGTGGAGAACTGTTCGAAGCTTCACCAAAAAACTAGATCGTTGCCACTATTTTTCTGCGATTTCAGCCACCTTTGTCGTCCATTTACCACACCACCACCGCCATTGAATTCCTCTAGCAGTTTCGAACAAAACCCAACCAATTTGGTCCCATCACTGTTGCTCCATCGTCGTTGTGCCTTGCGATCGCCATTTTTTGTGTGTGGATAAATCAGAATTTTATTATCCAAGAACAAAGTACATTTACAACCAATCACCAATCAAAATAAGGAGTATTACAAACAAACAAAGGAACATGTTTAAACTATGCTCCAAGTATTACAAAAATGGAAGTTAATGCAATCAAGTCTATTTATAGTTTTTCCTCTAAGTTTTATACTAACTATTTCGATGATTTCCTTGAGCAAGTTGTCAACTGTTCGAAATCTTCCTTGAAAAAGTCTGCGATTACGTTCTTGCCACAAAAAGTATATATAAGCATTCCAAGAAATTTTCAGAATAGTGGTAATTAAAGACTTCCCTTTCCATATAGAGCTTGCGTGAGAGACCATTTCTTCCCAAGTCATTGCAGTGTAGTTCATACCATTTAAAAAATAATAGATTTCCAGAGTTCAATAGCCAAGGGGCATTGAGAGAACAAGTGATCCCTGCTTTTTTTGAAAGCCCTACAGTTGACGCACAGACCAACAGTGACTAATCCCATGTGTTACAAGCGATCACAAGTTGGTAACCTGTTTAAGATGGCCATCCAAGTAATCAAACTATGCTTTGGAAGGTGCATAGGGTACCATACTAAACGGTGTCAGTACACTTTTTGACCTTGCAATCTGATTTTCCCCCAAATTTCTTCGCCTGCTGAATACCAGAAGAATAAAGAGGGAATACAGAATTTCTCATTTTGAGAATTCTTTTAACATTCCAGCTGATATTAGACCCAATGTCAAACTGCCAGAAGTTGTGGTCCTTGAATACATAGCTATTTAGCCAAGCAACCCAGAGCGAACCATTTCCAGCAAGGATCTTTCTAATAAGGCTCATAATGCAAGCTTTGTTCCAGGTGGTAGTGTGTTTCAGACCTAAGCCTCATTCAGATTTTAACAGACAGATTTGGTCCCAACCAACTCTTGCTCCAGCAGCTGATTTGTTCGCTCCTTTCCAGAAGAACCTTGAGCATAATTGATCCACTGATTTTAAGACAGTAGCTGGGATGATTAATTGTCTACACCAGAAATTACTGACACTAAAAAGAACTGATCTAATTAGCTCGATTCTGCCAGAATAATTTAAGTTTCTTGTAGACCAGTGGTGAAGCCTTTGCCTGATTTTATCAAGGAGAGGTTCACAGTCTTTCAGAGAAAGTTTTCGAGTAACAAGAGGTATTCCTAGGTACCTAACAGGCAGGCAACCTGTTTTAAAGCCAAATATGATTTTAAAGTTCTCAATTTCCCTAGGAGAGATACCCGCTGAGAAGATCTCACATTTGGAGGGATTTAAATGAAGTCCAGGAACTTTGTAAAATTGATGGAGGACACTCAAGACTCCAGCTACTGAATCCTTATTTCCTTTGCAGAAAATCAGTAAATCGTCTGCAAAAGAGATATGAGTTAACCCAATTTTCTTGCATTTTGGGTGAAAAGTAAAGACTCCTTTGGAAGCATCAATATTTAGCATTTTGGAGAGGACATTCATTGCTAGAACGAAAAGATAAGGGGAAAGAGGATCCCCTTGTCTTATACATCTGGCCCCTTTGAAATTGCCTATTAAAGTACCATTAAAAGCAATAGAATACTTGGCTTGAGAGAAATAGATTTGTATCCAGTCAATAAATTTTTGAGGAAGATGAGGCCTTTAAAGATTGCTAATAAGAAATTCCAATGCAATGAGTCGAAAGCTTTATGAAGATCAATCTTCATTGAGCATCTTGGAGAGATGGATTTCCTACCATATCCTTTCACTATCTCTTGAGCAAGGAGAGAATTATCGATGATATCACGACCTCGGATAAAGGCAGTCTGGTTTAAAGAGATAATATCAGGCAGGTATTCAGTCAATTTAGTGACAATGATTTTAGAAATAATCTTGTAGATGACTGAACAGCAGGAGATTGGCCTGAATTCTTTAATATTGCAAGGATTAGGAACTTTGGGGACAAGAGCAATAATAGTGGAATTGAAAGCAGGGTGAATATAATTATTGCTAAAAAAATAATTTACTGCATTAATAATGTCTTCTCCCACTATTGACCCATAATTCTTAAAGAAAAAAAGAAGAGAATCCATCCGGACCATGGGCTTTTTCATTGCCTTGATTGAATAAAGCATTCTTAATTTCTTCAGCAGAGACTTCCTTAACAAGAGAGGGAGAAGCTTCAGTGGGAAAAGAAAAGTTAAGGAGTTCTTGAAGAATGGAAGAATCCATATCCTTAACCAAAGGGTCAGCAATACCAAGAAACTTGTTGTAAAAAGAAGTGACTTCATTAGCCATGGCATCAAAAGTTTCAAGCCTATTACCTCTATCATCAAGAAGGAATCTTATAGTATCCCTCTTGTTCTTAGAGGCCATAATGGAATGGAAAAATTTAGAGTTTGTATCTCCTTCTTTAACCCATTGGACTTTTTCCTTTTGCTTAAGAAACATTGATTCAACTTCTTCAAGATTCTTTAATTGTTCTTGAATTTCAAGCTCTTTTATAATGGAATCCTCTCCTTTGAGAGTGAGAAGTTACTGATTTTCCAGCTCAATTCTCTTTAATTTCACACGATCCGAAATCTTGCTGAAGTTATCTTTGTTGAAATTCTTTAGGCATTCTTTGAGTCTTCTAAGTTTTGAGAATAAAATCATCATAGGATTGCCATGAGCATCTTGAGACTAATAATTTCTAACAACATTAAGGAACTGAGGATGAGAAGCCCAAAAATTAAAAAATTTGAAAGGTTTTGGTCTTGTTGCAGGGGACTCTTTTGAAAGCCAGATGATGGCCATACTATGGTCAGAGACACTTGGAGCAAGGGATTCCAAAAGGAGTGATGGAAGAAAGAGTCCCAACAAGGATTTATCAAGATTCTATCAAGTTTTCTTGCAAGAAAAAATTCCTATTGCTTATTTCTCCAAGTGTATTTAGGCCCAAAGAAAGGATGATCATAGAGGTTAAGCTCATGAGTAAACTCTTGAAATTCATTCATGTCAGGAGAAGAATAAGGGCCTAATAGCTCATGGTCTGAACTTTCATGGGAATGCAGAAAAATATTAAAGTCTCCTCCTAAGACCCATGGAGATTGGTTAACAGTAATACTAATATCCTTCAAAGATTGCCACATTTGTCTTCGAGAAATTCCCTCATTACTACCGTATATAGCTGTGATGAAGACAAGATTGCCAAAAGCAGAACCTTGAGCGGTGATACATTGGTTAGAAACCTAAATTATTGAAATATCAATACCATTCCTCTATAGCATCCAAATTCTGCCGTTGATGGCATGATCATAGTTTGTGCTAACATTCCAGTTGAAGAGTTTAGAGTTAAGAATAGCCTCTGATTTTTCCAGTTTAACTCTTGTCTCCAAAAGATAAAGTACATCCAGTTTATTTTGGAAGGCTTTAAGGAGCACTTTATTTTGTTTTAGATGATTATTAAATCCTCTAATGTTCCAGAAACTAACTATCATTGAGAAGAGGCTCCCAAGGAACCTTTTTGACTTTCTATAGGGGTTGACTTAGATTTGTCTAGATGATCTTTCTTTTTTGATTTTAACTCCTTAACCAAGATTGAAACACCCTTTGTTGCAGCTCTAGGCTTCCTTTGTGGAACATTAATAGTAGGAGATTCCTCAACAGAATTAAACACTTCGAACCTGTTAATGGAGCTTGAGAAAGAGCCATTTCCATTTTAGGCCTTCTTCTACCTCTCTTAGTTGTTAGTGGATGAGAAGCCTTTTCACCAACCGGTTCAAAGTAACCTGGGCAGTAATTGGAGAATTTGTAGAAGGGATATTGGTAATAGGATCTGCCACAGTCTGACAAATTGGATTTTCAGCAGGTAAACTGGGGATTACAGCAGTTTGAGGGGATGAATATTCAATACCAGCAACAGAGCAACTTGGTAAGTTAACAACCTTATCAACGTTATGGGACACATAATCTTCAAAAGCAGTAGGAACTGAGTGATCAAAAGAGTTAGGAGGAATGACTTGTGAGGCCCCTTTTTGAACATTACCATCAACTTCAATAAAAACAGTATTATTAAAAGGTTCTTGTAGAGCTTATATACCACCTACATGGATTGCTGCCGAATTGGAAGAGGATTCCTTCTTTTTCCAGACTTGGGAAATAGAAGGAATAACAGAAGAATTGTGCAGGCAACCCTTGTCGTTATGACCAAACACCTTGCATTTCTTACATGAAGGTGGAATCCAAGGAACCTCAACCTTGATCGAGGTTTTATGGCCGTTTTTAAGTTCAACTTCAATGAATTTTGGGATGAAGACATTGATTCCTATTTCAATGCAGACTTTCGCAAACTCAAGTCTAGTCTTTACAGCAGTGATTGTGTCCATTGAGAGTGGCACTCCAATGGCACTAGAAATGTAACTAAGACCTAATCGAGTAAAGAGTTCTAGGGGAACATTAAAAAGTGAACCCAGACAGGAATTCTTGTTAGGTCGAAATTTAAGGTCTTTAAGTTTGGTTCCCATTTACGGAGAATAAGGGTTTTGTTATGAATGTGCCAAGGATCATTATTGAGAACCCAATCTCTAGTAGTTTCACTATCAAACGAGAAGATAAATAGATTATTGCCAGCAGTACTAACATGTACTCTTGAGCCCTACAGAGCTTTACTCCAGACGTTTTCAACCACTCTTTGCAAAGAAGGAGATGAACTGGCCCACCAGAGAAAGGTGGACATTTCTAGGAGGAAACAATCGGGTTTCCATCGCGGAGGTCTTGGGATTCAGAAACTTTGAAAAGCTTTTTCCAATCCATTTGAAGAGCGAAATGGAGAACCGAAAAGCCTAGCAACAGAACTTGTGGAATGAAAACCGAAGAACGACCGTTGGAGAATCAACAGAAATTCGGGAGCCATTAGACCTGCTAACTTGCACCCAGAGCATTTCTTATCGTGCGCCATCTCGGTCAACTGTGATCGCCATTGGATAAGGTACAACCATTTAAAAACCCCACCCACCGTCATTTTTCATCGCAAAAATATCGGGAAGGGACTCTTAGTTCTTCAGCACTGAATTCTATAAGTTTTGGTGCCGCTTCGACCACCATGGTTGCCAAACGCACCTCACACGCTGCCCTATGCGTGTAGGTATTATTCTCAACCATGGAGCTTCCAGAAGTGATATGAACGACTGTGAACCAGTCTGAATCAACCTAGATTGAGCCTCTTGCACCGTGAGCCAAGTCGAGCTGTTTAGAACCATTTGGATTGAGCTGAGTCGATCTAAATTGAGCCGTTAAACTTCGTTGATCGATCATTGACTTCTTTCGAGACCATTTATCCTAATGTTTTTCGATGTTCTGAGTCTGTTTATGTAGTTCATTTCAAAAAATACAAAACCAATAAGCTATTTTTCAGAATTTAATCTTTCAATTCAATCTGCTTTTTATGTTTAAGTTCTATTTCTGATGCAATTCATTTTTCCATGTATACGAGATGTTATGGGACGTCGAATTCAAATTCGAAAGCGACTAAATAAATTCTAAATGGTCAATCAATATAGCTTAGAAATTGAGGTAAACATTACTATATATTGCATGCTTTATGGAATATATTGGTATTAGTTGGTTTATGAATGACTATGATTGGTCACATGTGTAGAGTTAATTATTTCAAAACTCGAACTAAATGCATTAGAAAGTTAGTAAATTGAATAAGACTCAGATGACTCGTGTAAGAAACTAGAAGACTGATAAGAAATAATTTTCAATTCAGTGATTAATCGTAAAGCAATTAACCTTAGGATCCTAAAATCCTAATTATTTTTATTAAAGATTTCAATGTCGAAAATGCTTCAACAAGAAGTTACAAAATTATCCTTGAGATATAAAAATGCCATTAATTGTCTTGATAGTGAAATTGATCTAAGAATTTGTATTTGACCCTATAAACTTATTGATTTCCTTGTTAAATTTTTTATCTAATTACAAAAAATATATTAATGATTTCTAACCTTCGAGAGAGTAAAAGATTTAGAATTTCTAATTTATGGAACAATCGCCTCAAGACTAAATTATTGGAAATAATTCATATGATTGATCGAATAAATTGATCGAAATACCCTCGAGCGTTGAAATGACTAAAATAACCTCAAGTACTAAAATAACCTAAATACCCTCATGAATTGGATTAAGGGAATGCATGCAGATAAGTTCTGAAATACTAGTGAAGCTTAAAATGTCGTAATGCTCCAAAGGGTTATAGAACAATCTAAGTATATCGGCTATCCCTATTATTATTACAATATTATAATGGAATACCACCTGAATACATGCTTGTGTCCTCGATTCAGGTTCAATAATGGTTTGTGGAGGGGGTCTGTTCAAGTATATAATGCAATCGGTAGTAAGAAATAATTTTCGTGAAGTGTTTATGTCCGAATAATCGGTAAATATCGCGTTATTAAAGTTCTATTTGTTCTATGTGACTTAAAAGCTTGATAAATCATTAGAAAACATAAATATTACAAATAAATATTTTAACCTCATTAGACCAAATTACCAAAATTTCTCTTGGTAGCAAAAAGATAAAATACTCATGATGGCCTAAATAATAGAATCGCTACCGTTATATCTGAATCTTAATTAATTCTGATGTAAAAGTTCTTGAATACCTCCCCATGCATTCGAATCCTAAATGTTCATAAGACAACAATTTCTAGATGTTTGATTAAATTATTTAGGTATCAAACACTTTTAATATGGATCTTGTTTCTGAAATCTAATCAATTTACAGAAGTTTAATATTTCTCTTCCTGATAACTACTAAGTATCTAAAAAAACTAAATCCTCTAGTGTGTTCCCTATGCGCATGGATATTTTCTCTAATTTTAAAAGTATGACTCTGTTATATGAAATAAAAATATGATCTATGATTTCTATTTTAGATACAAAATATATATATGGCTCATGATTATGATATTATTGTTTCACTGTTTAATTTGATTTATATTGGGGTTCTATATTGGATCTATTATAGAGTATATGCAGGTTCAACTTTGATCAAGCTAGTAATTCTTTATGGACTTAAGGCTACTTGTGGATAGGCTTTTAGGCCCAATAGGCCTAGGGTAAGACCTTATGGAATCCAAGGTACTCCCTTAGGATGGGTCCTCTACTTTGTGCATAGCGTATGTCTTTATGAACATGAGGCACCCTCTCAGGTGGGCTCTTACACTTCGGCTAGGGTAAGTCCTTATGGCTTAAGGTGCTCCCTTAGGTTGGCCAATGCCCAATGGGGCTCGGGTAAGTCTTCATGGATGTAGTGTTAGGGAACAACATATCGATATTTGATTGGAGGGTGTTGATGTGATTTCTAAAATCCATTTTACTAAATAAAC